GGTCTAAGCTCTACTTAATCCCTAACCCTAAAACAACAACAAAACAAACAAGGCCTCAAGCTCTCAAGCTTCTTCTTCAATCTACAAGTCTTCTACTATGCTCCTCCATGCTCCTCAAAGCAAAACCAAGCCCAACAAGCCCACAAAGCAAAGCAAAACAAAATACAAGCCCACAAGGGCACCACAAACAACCATCAATTACAAAAATCAACTAAAAATAGCATACTATCATATTAAAATCTAATATAATTTCTAGGGGATCCTATATACCTACCCTTAATACCCTATATGTCCCAATATCTAACTTGACCTAGAAACCCAAAATTCTAGTGTTATTGTGGACATATGTTAAGGATTAACCTAAATCTACACAACCTAAAGTCATCTAACCAAAACTAATAAAAATTTAATCACAAAATTATGGAATAAATCTAGAGGGGAGCTAAAGTCCTAATCTAACTATCCTAAAAAGAATGGCCTAAAAATTCAAAGGGAACTAGCTAAACAAAATTCTATAAGTCTATGCATCAACATAAAAGAATTAAAATGCTATTAAAAGAGAAAATACACAAAAAAATATTAAAAATGCATGAAGTGCAAATATTATGGTTTTATAATTTTCTAGACATAATCATGAAATGGGAGAAAAAATCCCCATGCAAAAATCATTAATTTTCTATTTATTATGATTTTTCAAAGATTGAAATAAAATGGAGAAAAAGAAATTAAAATGTGAAGACATTGGGTGCAGATAGCAAGTATATCCAGTTCAAATATGCAATGGGCTCAGAATGGGGGTACAATTAGTAAACACGCTAGGCCCAATTATCATCAGAAAAATCAATTGAAAAATCATAAAGAAAAAGAAAAGGATACGGTGCAGAAAGTAATGAAATGCAGTATAAAATCCAATGGGCCATAAATTGGGGGTGTGGTTAGCAACTGAGCCTAATCCCCCTTTTGATGAAACGATGCGTTTTGTGGTCTTCAGAGTTTCCCTCTTCAAACGAAATCAAATCCTGGCCCTTGGATCTCCCCTCAGTCAAAGGGTCCACGCCTGATCCAATGACCCTCTCTTCATCTTCTTCCTCCAACTAGGGTTCATAGTGAAGAATCCATGGAAGCAGTTTCAGAGCTCAATCTTCACCAAACTCGTACCACCTCAAATCTCCATGGAAAATTGAAATTCAAAACCCTAACCTGCCCAGAATTCCATGCTGAATCTAACCATGGTCTCAAAATCAATTGAATCATCCTAAATCTCCAAACCCGATCCAAGATCAAAGATAGGCTCAGACATCAACTTCAACAATTCTTGCAATTAAATACCTCAGATTGATCACCAACTCACACTAGTTGATTCTTGACATCTAATTCATGCTATAGCTCACTATATCTCATGTTCTTGGTCCAAACAAAAATGGTGACACCAACTGAAACTTCACCAATTGCTCCCAAACTGTTCAGAATCCATCTCCTATTGGTCTCTAACCGTTCTAACCTAACAATTCTTGCTAATCATGCCTAAATCATGGTGTAGAAGAAAAGTTACTAACCTGTTGAATCTTGATTAACAGATGGAGTAAACCTTCACTGCAAGCCTTCAAACTCTTCAGAATCGATCCTTGAATGATGATCTTGCTACTGTTTGCAAAAGTTTTGATGGAGAATGCTTGAATCTCAGAATTCGATGGTGACTTGCAACCTTGAAAATCCAAATGCCAACTCTTCAATTCTTCAAGAACTTACCCTCAAATTGGTCTGCACAGCTTCAATATGATCAAAGGAATGTGTTTAGATTGAAAGAATGAATGGAATTGAATCAGAATGTGGATTTTGCTTTCAACTTGCAATGGAAGCAAGTGAAATGGCTATCTCTCTCTTCGCTCAATTCTCTCACCAACCTTGCATCTGAGCAAGTTCTATACATTATATAGAGTGGTTTAGAATCATCTAGAACCATCTGGAACCATCCCATGAGAAATTGGGATTCTCATGTCATGAGTTTATGAATTCACCTCTTCTCACATATCATCTCATGACATAGCTCTTGCAGCAACTTGCCTTGGCTTGAAATTCTCCCTAAATGAGATATAGGATGTGTTAAAACCCTTAGCAAGCTTGTACATTGAGTTTCCTTATGTTTTGCATTTGTGCCTTAAGATGCAAGCAAGCAATTTCCAAAGCAGCCCCATGATCTAGGCCTCAATTCAAAAAAGTGGCTGAACCATTGTTTTTAGAATGTCTTTTAGAGTCAAAATGACCTATTATATGCCATGGTTTGGATGTGTAACTAGGAATTTCCAATTTCCAACTTGAACTTATTTAACTTATGCCTCCATTTTAGGTCATTTTTACCACTTTTTGATACAAGCCTTTTCAACATCTCATGACCTCCTTACTAGCCTTAAAATATCATTCTAAGAAAGTTTGATGTTGAATATTTTTACATTTGAAGCTTGGAAATAGGAGATATGGCCTTATGCTTGAAATGACCTATAACATCCAAATGACCAAAATGCCCTTGACTTGTCAAAGCCATAAGTTGAGTTCTACAAATCCTATCAAGGACTTCTAGTACTCTATAGAAATCTAAGAAGATGAGGAACAACATTCATGTTGACCAAGAGTTCATAGGAATCATCCTTTTTGGGCAAACGTTGGATGCAAGTTGGGTGACTTTCAAGGACCCAGATTCACATACCTCAGATGACCTGTAATTTGTCAAAGTCATAACTTGAGCTCTACAAATCCTATCAAGGACTTATAGTACTCAAATTAAAGCTAAGAACAAGCTCTACAACATTCATGTTGGGGGTAAGATGATATGACAATCACATCTTGAGCTAAACTGCCTTGAAGATAGGGATCAAACTAGGGGATTTTACACTGTCAAGCCTCAGAAACCCTAGCTTAAAACTTCTCAAACTCCTCAATCATGATGGGTTGGTCTAGGAATAATCCTTATAGAATCTAAATGCATCAATTCATGATCACATGGATCTTGGATTAGCTCTCAAACCTCTCCAAATCATCAGTTGACTTAGGGTTGACCCAGTCAAACCCTAATTACACCACTCATGGCTGAGTCTTCTTAAACTTGTACAATGACCTTCCTAGGCCTCATGATGGCTTTCAAGACATCTCAAAGCTTAAAGTCCATCCTCATAGCCTCAGAATCATCTGAGGAGCTCCCACAACTCTCAAGTTATGAGGCATACACCCTTGGTTTCAACCAATTTCTCTGAGGATCTCTTAAATTTTTTGACAAGGATATCAACCCTTGAACACTTGAATAACCTTCTTGGCTAGCTTCAAAGTCTCATATAGCTCTTGATTGGTATTCATACCCCTTGATGAACACATGCTAGGTAAATAAGTGTTGGTCAAATTTTGGGGTGCAACACTCGAGACTTAAGAAAGGCTTCTCGGGCCTGAGCAATTGGGAGAGCGAGCCAAAGGCTTGACCCTCTCTCTTTCTCATCCAAGTGTTCGAGAAAATAGATTTTGAGTTTTTCATGTTGTACATATTTTAGAGAAGATAATTGTTTGGACTTAAGAAAGGCTCCTCGGGACCCAAACAATCGAGAAGAGAAATCAAAGGCTCGATTCCAACTCCCTTTTTATCTTTATCGAAATTGTGTTTTAAATATGATTAAGTATATTAATTTGACTTGAAGAAAATACTCGATATGAATCGATGTTTAAATTTACAATCGGAAAATTCAATGGTTTGAATTAGACAGTAAGGAAGTTCTAATGGTATAAGGTAAGGTCGATGGCGAGGCCAAAACGCTCGACTTACAAGTGGAAAATGACTCGACGTGAATCGAGAGTTTATTTTGAAAAATAAATTGAACATACAAGTAAGAAACAAAGATCAATACAACATTGTCGCAACATGAACGCAAGATACAAGCAACATTGATAAAAGTCTATGTATACAGAAAAATGAAACCACCATCTAAGTGAAAAATATTTTTTGAAGTTTTTTTTTCTTTTAAATTGAAAATATCTAATCTAAATAATTAACAATATTAAAAAGATTAAATCTTAAAACGTAAAAGATAAATTTAAAATATTAATTGTTAAAATATTATAAAAAAGAATTGACTAACTAACCTAACTTAATCTTAAAATTAGAGAAGCAAAGTGTGTTAATGATATAAAGGAGTGTGTGAAAAAAAATAACATGGGATTGAGATCCTACAAAAAACCTAATCAAAAATAAAATAAATAAATAAATTAAAAAAAAGTGAAAGGGGCAGATCATACCTACACACTTGAGATCATGGTGTTCCTCGCTTTTCTTCTCAAACATGCCTTTCTGACTTTCATTTGCTCTGCAATTTCTTTCGTTACGCACTTTCCTCTCTCTTGGTCTCGCGATGATTTTCACCTCCCTTTCCCGTTCTCTTCTCTCTTCGTCTCCTTTCTTCACGGCGGCGCAGTGAACGGTTCCACCAATGATGTGAATGGTGGTGGTGAATGAGTGAGGCGATTGAGACGGTGATGGAGGGAGATGGTTAAGAGGGCTCGATCATTGTTGATGTGTGGTTGCAGATCTGAAATTTTTCAGAGAATTGAGAAACACGGTTTGGTCGAGTTAGTGAGGAATGGTGTTAGGCGATGGGGAGAAGAAGATTGTTCGATGTTGTTGTTGTGGAATTCACAGGTTGTATTTGTTTGTGAATCTGTGCACACCAACTGTTTGTGAAAAGGTTTTGTAGTTGCGGTTTGCGATGTCGAATCTCTATTGTTGGAAGCATTGTTGCGTAAAACTGGAAACACGTGCAAACTTGTTGTGAAATTAGTATTGTGAACTTGTTTTGAAGAATGTTACTTGGTGTTGAGTTATGAGTTGTCGGTGATGGCGGGGATGTCGATGTTGTTGTTGCTTGAAGTTTTCTTTGTGTTAAGCAAGAAGTAGATGTAAGCATGATGTTGATGAAAGGGAAAGGTTGCATGAAGAGTGGTGATGGTGTTTGAAGGAGTTGTTGATGACTTTATCTAGTGCAGCAGCCGTGTGTGGCATGAATCTGTGCAGGATCTATTGGTGCCGGTTTGTTATATGGTTTGGGGGATGTATATGCGTGGAAAGTTCCCCACAGAGGCGTTCAATTTCTTGTAAATCACCGTCTACAGGCCTACATTTGTCAAGATCAGTATTAGGAAGACAAGCATCGGTGAACATAATATTATGCTCAGCAAACCATTCTGATGTCCCAAGACAATTCTTCATCCCCAACAAACTAGCTCCTTCATATTCAAATATTCCATACTCAGCATTCTTCCGCAAGAAATTCTTCGAGTTTCAACAACCGTCTTCTTGAAGTGCAGGTAGCGAAGTTAAATCATTCATATCAAAGACCAACACCAAAGCAGTCACTTGATCAAACCCGGGAACATTCTCGATAGAAAACCCGTCACAAAGATTGAGCCATCCAAACAAAAACATCAGCAATATAGTATTTAATGGCAATAGTCCAACCATGAACATTTACTTCAGAAGTTGAATCAAACATCTTCAGAATCAACAGATAACAATCAGTAAATGGGGCACGTTTTTTCGACCGGGGAGGATCCGACGATGAAGATTGCAGATTGGTTTTTGTGAGAAACCAGATTCGTTTTTGATTCGATAACATCCATTTGTTGTAGTTGAAAATTGGTATAAGCTCAATTATTGAAAGAATCAAAGATTGTGATTTTGTTCTTCTGCTACTGATTGTTGGAGTTATTAATTGCAGCTATTGGAGAGAGCGAATCCATAGCTATAAGATTCTTGATTCCATGTTGCCTTCTATGAATTTCGTCGATGGCAAGACTGCATTGTTACTTGAAGCTCATCCATTACTCTCAATCCATTTTCGCATCTCCTTCTTGCTTCTGTTATTGATGACAGTTATTTGTTGTTATGAGATATGACTCAGTGGTTGTGGATGCAACGTGTAACGTGTTCTTCATCGAGTTGCGTTATTTTGTTGCAAAAAACATAGGCGGTTGGAAGGGAGAAAAATGTAGGTCTCTGCTACTTTCGGTTTATGTTGCTGCAGAAACAGAAGGATGGTTGTGTGCAGTAGAGTGAGTTTGTGAGGTTGGTAGTGAAGCGACGGAAACTCGGCGGTTAATCTTTGCAGTGAGGAACAAAAGCTGCAGACTTTACGACTGTCACGACCACCTTTGCTTCATCTTCCAAATATTTCTCTCATCGTGATAGTATCATATCTAATAACAGCGATGGAAGTCACCATTGAACAGAAATAGGGTTTTTTCGAAGGTCAGTTGGTGTGTTCTTAGCTCCAGTTAAGTGATTCACCGGTTGAGAATAAAAGGAAATATATTGTGGTTGAGTGATGTAGTTATGAGGTAAGCACTGGGAGTCACGTAGTTGCTACTGTCATTGCTGAGTTGTCTCCTGCGGTTACCATAAGTTGCTATCGCTGCAGTTTATTTGTGACAGGTTTTAGTGTGGGTTTGGAAGATTGGAAAAAGCTATGACAATGGAGGTAATATCAAAACGAAAACAAGGTATGCTTGGGTTGTTTTTCTTTGTTGTTTATGGTGGCTGTTTTGGGAGTTGTATGTACCAACATGAAGGTGAGTCGTTGGTTTTTACACTGTGTGTTAGGATGGAGTTAAAAAAATGAGTGGGATGGTTTGTGTTTGTGGTTTCTTTTTAAAAGTTTCACATCTTCAAAAATGAGGGTGCCCGCCTGAAATTTTCATCCAAATAATCAACTTTATCCCCCTAATATCCAAACTACCCTACTTTCCCTCATATTTTCAATCTACCCAACTTTCGTTTTTTTTTTATTACAAGGGGGCGCCGTGGGGTATGGCTCATCCCTTATAATTTATATGGGGGCGCCGTGGGGTATGGCTCCTCCCTTATAATTTATATGGGGGCGCCATTCAGGATGGAGGCGCCCTATAAATTATAAAGGGGGCGCCATCCCCTTTGGCTCCTCCTTTAAATCCGAATTTTTAAAATAATTTTAAATGTATAATTAGTTTAAAAATATTTAATAAATAATATTTAATAATTAAAAAATATTTAAAAAATAATAATTATATAATAATAATTTCTGAATAATTTTTATATATTTTACAAATAATAAATAAATAATAATTAATAATATCATTAAAAAATTTCAAATAATAAAAATAAATCAAATTGTATTTAATAAATTTAATATTAAATAATAATTACAATAATTATTGAATCACAAATATGAAAGATATTGTACACTAGTTTCTACGCCGTGGTCGGTTTAAATGTCCGCCCGTACCGCATCCCTGATCACGTACGTTTCTTTGTGGTCTTTGTTGTGGAGTCGGGTCCATTGTGTCGTCTTCAAGGCATCACTTAGGCCCATGAAGACGGGTCCATATCCGTAAAGTCATCCAAATCAAAAGGGTTGCCCATGCATTGGGTGTTTGAAACTGGGTGTTTATTTGGTTTGTAGTATCCATGGAGTATGTGTGGTATTGTGTGGATTGTGAATTAGTTTGTGTGAATGAAGTGAATTGGTTAGGGGTATGTTCATATTGTTGTGATTGTGTGAGTGGGGGTTGAAAATAGGGTTGGGTTGGCGGTTAGAAATGGGGTTGGGATGGTGGTTGGAAATGGGGTTGGGTTGATGGTTGGAAATGGGGTTGGGTTGGCGGTTGGAAATGATATTGGGTTGATGGTTGGCAATGAGGTTGGGTTGGCGGTTGGAAATGGTATTGGGTTGATGGTTGGCAATGAGGTTGGGTTGGCGGTTGGAAATGAGGTTGTGTTGGCGGTTGGAAATAGGGCTGGGTTGGTTGTTGGGGCCTTGATGATGAATCTTGGCGTGGGTCAACAAGATACCTTGGATGTGAAATGAAACCAATTGATACATACCTATACCAAGTCATGTATTGTATTGATTGTTTCATCTCGTATGGAAACACAGTGTTGGACAAAACATAGTTGTTGCGATGCCTCCATTCACGATACTCGTGTTTTGCATGCTTGGTCCACAGATTATATTCCCATTGGTCGGAGACTTTACCGGTGTGATATTTGTCGGGGATGCACTTTGGCGGACCTGGAATATCTTGAAGCATTCCAAATTGAAGTTTCACACGATCACTGTTGTGCATTTCCACGGTGGTGAAGTTGATAATCGGCACCTTTGCACTCCACACTGCAGAGTCTTGTCGTTCAACTTCATGAAAGACTTCTAGACTAAGATACGGCCGCAAAATGAACTGTAGGAGGAAAAAATTAATATTAAGTATTTTCTAATAATATTGAAGTAGAGAATAACATAAATAGTTAGGTTTGTGAGTATACATCAAGATCAATAAGATTTCTGTACTGCGTGATACTGTAATGTGGACAGTTGTCATAATTCATTCCAAGCGAAGACCACCTACAAATCGAAAAGAAAACATTTATTAATAATATGATTAATTAATTGAAATACTATGATAGATAAGTGAGAATTGGGAAAAATAATTACCTTTTAGCGAATGGGAATTCAAAATTATTTTGTTGGATAGGTGCTACATTGGTCATTCTTGACCAACCCCATGCTTGAAGAAGAACACCACATCCGGTCCAGTTTCCCAAATTTGCTATTGAGTTGTTACATAAAGACCGATATAGGTGCGCTAGTGTTGCGGACCCCCAACGATAAAGGTAAGTACATAGAGTGAACAACGTTTCCACTTGTATCCGGACATAAAAATAACCATATTAATAACATAATATAAATTTGAATTTTTCTAATTTTTAATATTTCAGGAGAATCTCGAGTTAATCTCAAGTCTCTATAAATTGTTTTGAGCCATGACATTAAAATTTTTTGGCCCCTCATATCTCGTGGGGTTGGTTCAACCCCTAAGAGTTCTCCTATGACACTACCGCTAGGATTGGTTATACCGTTTACCGCCTTACCATCTATGGGTAAACTCAATAACATGTATGTGTCCTCGAGTGTAATTGCATATTCACCTATTGGAAGATGAAATGTGTGCGTCTCGGGACGCCACCTTTCTTGCAGAGCCAAGATAAACTTGGTATCAAGGAGATAATTTGTAATGTTAATGACTTCTCCAAATCCCGCGCGCTCCAAAAAAGGTTGAATTAACGGGTCATGTGGGAAATGTTTATGCCCACGAGTACGAAAGTCATGAGTATTCTACAAAAAAACAAACAAGAAATTAGAACATTGTATTTGTAAAAACATTATAATGCTACGAATAAAGACAACATTGTGAATTATCAAGTACAACTACTTACATAAGACGCGATGTTGCTTGGTGTTCCTCTATGCGTTTCACCCAATGTTAACAGAGACATGACTTCTATAGTGTGGATATATGAGGAAAATATTGGGAGAATTTGAATTGTTGGATATATTTGATGTGTTTTTTGGAATGAGGAGGAGTAGTATTTATAGTAAAAATTTTGAATTTGAAATTTGAAATTTGAAATTTGAATTTATGGTTGTAGAGGTAAAAATTAAATTTGTGTAGTTGAAATATTGATTGATGTGTAGAGAAGTTAATGAGATAGATGAATTTGTGTAGAAAAGAGATTGATGTGTAGAAAATTTCATACACATGTCATTCTGCATGCATGCAAAAAGTGAATTTTCTTACACATGTCACAGGGGAGCCATACCCCACGGCGCCCCCCTTATGTCTTAAGGAAGGGGAGCCATACCCCACGGCGCCCCCCTTATGTATTAATGAAGGGGAGCCATACCCCATGGCGTCTCCCTTATGTATTAATGAAGGGGAGCCATACCCCATGGCGTCTCCCTTATGTTTTTAATAATATTAAATTTGTGGCCATTTCATCTATATGTATACATTCAAGACAAAATATTATACATCTCATTGTATCCTAACACATCCCTTAAACTATCATTCAACTATGTCTAGAACAACAAATTATATTGTTCATGCCCATTTTAATGGAGAGACTTTCATCTCTGAGAATTCGGGTTTTGGGTTTCAAAATACAGATCTTACCCGATTAACAATGAGTAGAAAAGCAAATTTTTTGCATTTCAAAGAGCGCATACAGTCGAAGATTTTTTCTGGTCAAATCTCTCAGATCATTTACAGAAGTCCTGTTTTTTTTTACAACAATCAGGTCAAGTATTTTCAAGAGAAAATACAAGACGACAACGATGTTGATCAAATGTTTGATAGTCATGAACACTCTGGGTTCGACTATATCGAGGTTCATCTATTACTCTGCCAAACTGAACATGAGGTTGACGAAACAACAGATATAGATGAAATTGATGTTGTGGACGAGGAGGAAGAAGATCCAGAGGCCATGGTT